TTTTTGGTTCTGCGAAATTGTACCGGTATAAGGTGAAACCGGTATAGGCAATGCCGGTATAGACAGAGTTGACTGTATATACCAATTGCAATTGGTATAAATAAAGTAAGAATATTCAAACAAAAACCCAAATCTGACTGCAACTGCATTCTATGGGTTATGTTAAGCAAGGAAAGTCGGAAAGAGCAACATCTTCCTTATCAACATAAATGGATAGAATTTATGTGACGTCCCAATGGTTTAATGAACAGGCAATTAGCAAAGTATTACACTTAGTCTTAGTCTATGTAAGTCTTAATATATAAACTTATTTTCCCTTCAACAATTCTTCAGATTCTTCTTTCGCTTTTTTAACTTTTGCCTCTAAATAGGCATCAAAGTACTCTTCTAGCACTGATTCATTTTTGGAGAGTCTTACTGCTCGCGGATCATCTTTAACAATCGGCAAAAGTTCGATCCATGTTGTATCTAATTTTACATGCTTATCAAGAAGCTCATGAAATTGTTTCAGTCTCTTTAGTTTAAGCTCGCTGATATGCTCGTCGTAGAGTTTTAACTTGTCATCAAGGGAAAGAGCTTCACTATGAAATCTCGAATCTCGCTCCAAATCTGGTCTCTTATCCTCCCACCTAGCCTGTAATGTCACAAAATTAATCTTGCGAATGAATTAGTACAATTTTGAAATGCAGACTAACCGTACCTCATGCGTCCTCACTAAATCTATCAACAATGTTTGGAAAGCACGCACAGCTTCTTCTCGCATTGCGTTTTTCATAGCGTATTCCTTATCTCTGTTGCGACGCCTCATCTCTTTACGCACTTTTGCTTCTCGTTCCCTCAGACTGGCCTCCTCTCTAATATGCAAGACAAAATGAATAAGACGTTCATCAAACTAAACAGATAAGTTAAACTTTATTTTTGTCACCTTGATCTCTTTTCCCTTTGCTTTCGTGCTTCCTCTTTTCTGGCTGCTTCCTCTTCATCTTCGGCTTCAAGCTTCTTGCAATAATCTCTGAATAGTTGCTCTCTATCACTTGAAGAGTCTATGGCATCATATCTAGGGTCCTCATCAATTAAGCGTTTGATCTGCAAAATAACAAAAAAAGGTTAGAAGTATTGACAAAAGAAGACTATTTGAATACTAGTACTACTGAACCGAAATAACAAACAAAGTCAATAAACGCAAATATATGCACGTTCCTATCAAGTCCCAATACCTACTTTCCGCCAGCTTGAATCAGATTTTATTTCTCTCGTCTCCCGCAACAGCTCCACAAACTTTTCCTCTGCCTTTTTCTGTTGAGCTCGTCTACCTAACGAAATTAAACAAAAGTTGCGGTCACTTTGTTTTTCGTGCAAAACATAGATACCGATATTTTGTTGTCGTAATACACACGCTCGGATTCTCTGGCTTTTAATTCTTTTACATAATCACGAAACATCCTTTCCCTCGCCTTATCGTCAGAAAAAATTTTGAATCTTGGATCTCGTTTGAATTTCCACTTAAATTCATCCCAATGTGATCGGTGAGTGACTTCTTCCTTCAACAGCAGCTCATACTCTTCCTTAGGCGGCTGATTCTACAATAATACACGACAGCAACTTTGAATATTAATAGGTATGGAAGAAACCTTTAAACGTGGATTGCACAATTATTGCTTACTTTGGCCTTGTTCTTCTTTTCCTCTCTTAGTTCAACAACTCTTTCTTTGCAATATTCGTCAAACAATTCCTTCCTTTGCTTCAAAGTTGCAATCACTTTAAAACATCAACTAATTAATATCAAATAAAACCACACTGTATACAATGACCAAAAGTTACTTTCATACATATATATCTCGGATCATGTATAATCCTTGGTAGTTCCTTTTCCCAAACAGCAAATGGCGATACATTCATATCCCTTAACAAACTCTATTTGGTAAAACAAGAAAAATCAATATCAAATTAACCATCCGACGTCTAAAAGTCTAAACTTGGGGTACCTTGAACAGAATTGATCTCTCTTCGTTTGTTAATTCAGCTTCCCTGAGGTTCTGCTGATTATCACTCTTCTGGATATTTGCTGTATTTTCATTATTTGCACTAGTGCTACCACTCCCGACATTTTGTATATATACACCTTCGTTGAGCATTGACAGTTGCTCTTGCTCCTGGTCTTCTGCAAATTGAAGTTGAAATGCAATATCATCTTCTGTCAACCTGAATAATATAGTCATTAGTCTCTCATGTAAAAATAATTCTAAAATTCAAGGCCTAAACTTACTCTGTACCCTCAAATCCTTCTTCATCACTGCTCCTGTGTCTTTTATTCGTTTCTTCACCACTTCTGTCCCCATTATCATCTACTTTTCTTTTGGCGTTGGCCGATTCACTTATTTTCTTATCAGCTTCCTCAGCCAATCTTTCCTGTTCCTTGAAGATTTTCAATGGTTCTTTTATTTCTTCAGGAGGTTCCCATACAGACTGCTTGGTATCTGAATTGTAAAAGAACTCATTTCCTTCTGTAGTAGACACGATATACCAACTTGTACCGGGTATCTGACGTCTGTATGATCAAGAATAGGGAAATGTCAATTAAACTATTAAATTTACGAATATTGAAAAATGGCTGACAAACATAGATACATTCTTTCCTCTAGCCTTTTCTTTCTTCTTCTCTTTTTTTTTGTCCTTCCTGACATAGGCCTGCTGATTTGCTGGTTGAACAAAGCCTTGAACGGGAGGTAAATGAGATTGCTGTACGGGTATAGGCATGACGCTAGACATTGATTGAAATGGTGAAAGATTGAATCCTGGAGGTAGGAGTCCCATTGGAGGTGGTCCCATAGGGGGTCCTCCTAATATTGGCGGAGGTGGAGGAAATACAGTAATAGGTCTCTCCCAAGTGCTCTGTCCCGTTGCTGCATTGTAATAGTAAAAGAGCCCGTTTGGAGCTCGATGCTCAGTCCAACCAGGTGGAAGAGAGGCGCGGATAGGACCCACTGGAGACTGAGACGACAACGGTATACTTTTCTCAGGTTGTGTTCGCGATGGCTGTTGATGCTGTTGATGCTGGTGACGCTGGTAGTAATACTGTTGCTGAAGATCTTGTTTTTGTTGTGGTTTTTGTTTCTGAGTCCGTTCCTGTTGCGACTGCTGCTGATCTTTATGCGTTATTACTTCTGGCGATTGCTCCGGTTGTTGTTGAGTGACGTTCTCTTTCGAATCAGACTGCTGATCTACCTGAGGAGACTCCTGCGCGCCTTCCATTTTACTGCCAAACTGGCAAAAAATTTTGGTTAAATCCAAAAATATCATCGACTATCATCACGAGATTTGCATAATTTCTGAATGTAAAAATGCGGTAATAATCCAATTCATGCTTCTGCTTTAATTGGGAGAAGCAAAAATCGTCCAAACTGACATCAAAGACTATGAACAGAAGACTAACAGTTGAGAAGGTTCAAGTAAAGCCAAAGAACGTACAAGCAAAATGGATATGAAACGACTAGCTTGGATGAGTAGTAATAGTATTAAATGTCAAAATTCTATTGCCAAATATGGAATTGCCCAATGTAGATTGATCGCTTATAGTCCAAGTCGATGAACTGGAGGCTTTTCATATTGTCGGCATGGCTTCGACGTCGACCTCCGCGAGCGTCCCGCCACACAAACAGCCTACTGTTCTATTTTGTATAGGCATGGCTGGATCGGGCAAGACGACCTTTATGCAGGTGCAGTAAAGGAGATCAGGCGACATTCGTCAGTTTTTCGCATTCATTCGTCAGTGCCGCATTCATACTGAGCCTGATGCTTTCGTTCCGCAGAGGATCAATGCGTTTCTTCATGGCCAAGGAAAACCTCCATATGTTATAAATCTCGACCCGGCAGTAACGCACTTACCATTCACGGCGAACATAGATATTCGTGATACAATAAATTACAAAGAAGTAATGAAACAGTAAGCAGCTATTGAATTGGGCTTTACATCATTTTATAGCCGTTCTAATAGCAATTCAAAACTCCCAGATATAATTTAGGGCCAAATGGGGGAATTCTGACCAGTTTAAATTTATTTACAACGAAGTTTGATCAGGTGCTGGGTCTCATCGCCAGGCGCGCCCCGACACTCGAGTAGGTCATTCAAGACTCGGGCCATTTTTTCCACCTCTATATTTTTTTCGTTCAAATCGTTTTCTATTATCGGATAGCTACATACTCCTGGATACACCGGGTCAGATAGAGATTTTTACATGGTCAGCATCGGGAGCAATCATTACTGATGCCCTCGCGGCTACTTATCCATGCGCAGTGGCCTATATTATAGACACACCCCGAACCACAAATCCGGCAACATTTATGAGTAACATGTTGTATGCATGCAGGTACGTGCTGTCGTGCGTTTCCGTGTAAACATAATTGCTCATCTCAAATCAATTGATTGCGGTTTCCCATTAATTTTAGCATTTTATACAAGACCAAGCTCCCGTTCGTCCTAGTGTTTAATAAAATCGATGTGGTGTCTCATGATTTTGCAGTCCAATGGATGACTGATTTTGAAGCCTTTCAGCAAGCTCTGAAGAACGATACCAGTTATATGAGTAGTTTGATGAACTCGATGAGTTTAGTTCTCGATGAATTCTATCAACATCTGAGAGTAAGCAAGTTATTACAATCTGCATGTCCAGAATTTAATACTTAATAACTTTACAATCATATTTGGCAGGTGGTTGGTGTTTCGGCTGTGACTGGTGAAGGCATGAAAGAATTCTTCGCTGCCGTCGGTGAGGCCGTCAAGGAATACGAAACGTATGCACATATGGTACTTTTATCTGTTCTGCTTTATCTCTACTTAAGCTTACAGTCTTTTGAATTTATATAGAGAATATATACCTGAAATGCAAAGGTTGATACGTGAGAGGGTAAGTTTTTTTTTGTGAATGACCAATACATTACAGTGAGTGAAAAATGTACCTGACGTTATTTTGATGATAATACAGGCATTACGACAAGAAAGAGAGCAACAGGTTCAATTAACGAATTTAATGAACGACATGGAGATACATCAGGATCAAAAAAAATAAAGGACTTTGTACGCGTTTATATCACCACAATACGATTTTTAAGGAATCAAATACGAAATATTTCAAAATGGCTAATCAGTTTTGATGATTGGGAAACCATGTTTATCGCGCGTCTTATTGCTATTCAATTATAAAATATCATTACTAAATCGCCTGATATATACCTTGGATAATGTTTTATTCGGAATTTGGTTTTAGGCTTAAAGAGGTTCTAGTTTGTGATTAAGCTACTTGAAATGTCTACAATTGTTATTACCGAAAATGGTTTGGGTATTACCGTGTAAATAAAGGATGGCTTTATACGATTATTTAAAGCTTTAAGACAAAGTCAAAATGGTTTCCGTTGTGTTATACCTAATTATAATGCGTTTTTAGAAAGATGGCAGCTGTTACAGTCAAAAGGAATGAATTACATCAACTTGATATTTCGTTAATTCTGACCGCGTTACAAGTTTGTAAGAGAAGTTTATTACTATTAGTGCATTGATTGTCATATTATTTATTACTATGACCTTTTCGACAAATATCCGTCCAGCGAGTGTATGTTAAGATTAAATTGTCTATATGAAATTACACCAAGGAAAAGTAAAAAACACCAACAAACCGAAGCTCCGGATTGTTGTCAAAAAGATATATGTGTATATGTATGTATGTGTGTATGTATGATGTATGTATGTATGTATATATATATCAACCCGACGAGCCCAATAGAAAAAAAAAATTCGAATCATATACCAAAAGCGAACTTACAACACTGACAATGATACCCCTTGTCCTTTCTCGTCGAAATTGACTAACAACAGGCAAAGTCTACTAAATTTTTTCATTTCAAAGTAACGTTGCTCATTAATCGGACCCAGTAACCGGCGAACCCGGATGACGCAAGAGTACGGCAGCAAGATCCGAGGGTGTAGTGGGTGCATGGTCTAGTTTTATTTTTTATTTTTGACTTCCGAACGACATCAGCATGCCGTAACCAGTTTAATTCCGAGAAGTATAATTTCTCGGGATTAATTTGATTGATAAAATCACAAAATTTGATTTTGATTTCTTTCAAGTCTTTATGAAGAGATTCCGGAAGAACAGCTCGTAGTACTACTGAATACTCCACGCGTCTGCGCTCATCATCGCCTAAACCTAAAGATGTCAAAGTTAGTACTTTTGCAAGACATCTTATATATTAATTAACCTGGCTACAGTAATATAAATTTACCTTCCAGACCATTTTCAATTATCGGTGTTATTGAATCAAGTAATTTCTCAAAAGCCTCAAACGGGACAATGCTTGACTTGAGCCCGAAATCAAGTTGTTTCTTTACATCTCTGAATTGAGACATTTCCGAATGTTCGCTCGCCAACTTCTCAACGTCGCGTCTCACTTCCTTTACAGATGTGATTATATTTCTTATGGACGTTCGTGCTGCCGTATTATATAGCAATGGCAAGTGAGACTTTTCCGCAGCTGCAACAACATCATTTTTATCGAGGAAACGTCGTTAGAATTGTCATCTATATCAGTCTCATAAAGTAATTGATAACTTACTTATATCGCGGTTTGGTTCTTCAGTCATAAAATACACATAAAGATCTTTTACAATAGTAATAGTAAACGCCATAAACCAGTCAGTCATGTCAGCCAACGTCCTGTACACGAAAATACCGGCTATATAATTGAAAAAAAAAAACATATGAGCACTCTGCCGACAAAAAACTTGCTGGACACAGACAAGCTGTAATACCGTTAGAATAGTCCGTATCAACCGGCCGACAATGCATAGCCGAATCCACACCATACAACTGCATCAAGGCCCAAGTATTTATGAATTGGACGTCATTAATTATTTTCTCTGTCCCACGACATTTGAGAAGTGATATCTGAACGCCTAACAGTTTATGGGCAAATTCCGATGTGTACATAGAACGAAGATCTTTTGGAATCAAATTTTCAATATGATTGAACATTTCCGTCAACACCTGTTCCACAAAATCTGGAGAACAAAACGTAAGTATTGCATCCCTCATCACACAATTCTGCATGCCCATTACTTTTTTTTTATATTCACCTTCTTTCAAACGGGACGCACGACGGACAATATTCTCAATGTCTGCATGATCTCTGTTATTCAGGAGAGCACCAATAAGTGTATGTGCCATAACATTAACCACAGGTGTACCGTCGCCAGATCGCAGAGCTTGTCTAAACCGACCCGATTCAGCAATATCAAGGAATTCCAATTTGCCAGAAGCTAATCGACAAGCAAGCCATGCTCTATTAGGAGATACTGCGTATTCCAATATGATATTACCTCGGCTTCCACGATGTAACCAATCACTTAACGCTGGAAGACTATTATTCGAAAAGGCTTTGGCGCAAGAGTTGCTTTCGTGAACAATCGGTTTGAAGAATACGCTTTTTTAATTGTAAAGGATAAATTAATCGACATTTGAAATGTGCATAGTCGAAGATGAATTGCGCTCATGGCATACCAGTCTCGAAATTCAGTACAGCCGTCGTTGAATGCCAACAGGAGTTCATTGTCATGCTCGCAAATCGTTGTTATTAACCTTTGTGCAAAATTCTCATGAACCAAGGGCTTGATCATCTAAGAGAGCTTGCTTGTCAGATGTGTACAATTATAAATGATTGTATAATTTGGTGTGAGAATTTTCTTTATAACATACCTTATTATTTCTCGTTCTCGTTTCTCGCGCTTCAGAGCTGTTGTCACATACTGCGTATACAAACAAATCGCTTCGATATTTCTGTTCACCCGTGTCTCCTACTCGATAAAATTGTACGCAATTCTCAGAGATGTACATTTCATTGACATAACCGAGTCTATTCTCATGTTTGTTTGCTCATGCTCTATATATGCTCTGTACTGACCTTCTTCGCTTTCCTTACCACTGGAAACAATAACAATTTTGAAATCTGAATTATTTTCAGTTGCTGGTAACAATTTGACGTGAATAAATGGATCGTGTATAGCGTCCCCACTTTCAATTATTTTTGGTTGAATAGTCGTCGTGACAAGACATTCAACGTTGAGCTGCAATAAATCAATTGCAAGTTCAAAAACTTTTACAACTCGCGGTACGGCATTAGCACTGTGAGTCACTAACAGAATTCGGCCATCTGTACGTAATTATTTACATAGAATCAGCATAAGCCGTTTTAAAGTCTTGGAAACCATTAGAAATTATCTTACCTTTGTTTATAAGAATATCGGCATGCGATATACAATTTATTTGCCCACTCCATGCGTTTATACTGCTTAATGGCGTTGTTACTTCGGGGGTTATCTTCAAGAATGTTTTTCTCTCACGTTGATACCACACAGAAATCTAGTTGCAAAAAGTATAGTTTTTAATAACCTATTGGACAGAATCTGCTGAAGTCGACCGTAAACCGTAATTTCTTACTTTTCCGCTTGAAGTGAGCACTACAAAAGCCAATTTACCAAACCCGTTTTTCGGCCCTCTCAGTGCAGCTCTCTTGTATGAAATTTCTCCTTGATCATTCTTTCGAGCTTCCCACTATTAAAAGTCAAGCAAAGACACAACACCCCAAGAAAAACATATTATTTCGTATTAGTTCTAATTAAACTAAACATCATATTCTCCACATATTACTTACCACTCGTTCACTAGGAAGCCAACAAAAAGCCACGATTGGCTCGTCAAATTTATCTTCCCACAGACACGTCCAGTTGTTGATACAATCATCCATAATCCATAACACCAGCACACCCGCTTTGTCAATAGATGCCAGACAATTGCCGGTCTGGTTGAATACTATGTTTGTAATATTACGGATATTGCTATGATGTTTTTCAGTAGGTATAGTGAACGATGGCTTAGCAGTGTACTTCAATGTACCCAGTAATGTCTGGTTATTCTCTTTCTCATTAAAAGAGTAACCAGTGACACCGCCATAGTTTCTACCGTGTCTGGTCTGTCTGCGAGCTTTGATTACAGCAATGCCTTTGGAGTTGTTTTCATGTGAAACCCAAGCAATCATTCCTTGTGGTGACCAAGCTATTGTTCTACAAACATAAGTAGAGGTGCTGACTGTGAGTAACTACTCACAAGCTCACAATACAGCCGTTGTAAGAGCCTTTTTGTTGTTAGGCTTTCGAATCTCCAGATTTCATACCTAGAGGCTTGACAGAACCATAGTTCGTCGTGGATTGCCAGCACTGGCCTGGTCGAAATCTTGCTATCAGTAATTACCGGCTCAATTTCCTCTTCCTTGTCGTCAATCCAGACAACATCTGCTGGTTGGAGTTCCTCTAGTCGTGGAGCCTTTCTCCTCGTTTCATTTAAACTGTCGTCTTCGTCTGTTCCTTTCCTCTTTCCCAAAGAATTTAGGGGATTAGTTAAGGTATTATTTAGAGTGTTTGCCAATAATTGTTCAATGTCTGCGACCGACACCGACATGCTGCGAGAATATTGTTGACAGGTATTGAGCAATATCGACGTAATGATAACGATTTATGACTAAACCAGAACTTGTAAAGTAAGATCGTTGCACCAATTGCTCAATTTTGGCAAGATGTGCTGTCGGTGAAAACTGCTTTTACCCTACTTCGCCTATTTTTATCTGCTGCTCGATATGATTTTTGTCTTAATAATTCATAGCTTGTCACAGCAGGCGTGGACATGACAGCACCTCAGAATCCTATCACCAGAGCTATTTGGGACGGTGCTCTTCCGATAAAATTTTCTCTTGACGCTGGGGAAGCTGACGCAGCAGGAGCAAATACAATAATAGAACCATATTTTGTAAGCTTTCTACTTACCAGTTACGGGGTTAAGAGTTATCATTTCCTGATCTCTTGTTTGAACGTGTAGATAGAGGCTCCACGGTGTTCCTATTTCCCGTTGTTAACCAGTCAAATAAGAAAATATTTTACCGACTTGTCGTTACAATTCATTGGAGACGACGCGGAGATTTGGTATGATGTGGACGGGACGCCGTTGAAATGGTAAGTTTACAGCCATTTCTATAATATTGTTACCTGATTATTTACTTGATTTCGGCCGTCTCTTTCTTTTTTACCTTCAAGGCATTATCCAATAGGGCTGTTATTTGATCTGCACACTGGCTATAGACCCGACTCTAATAGTCCACCACCTTTACCATGGCCTGTAACCGTACACTTTAAAAATTTCCCTGCAGATAAACTAATCCGCGCACAGGCTATCGATGCTACACAGGATTTCTTCATGTCTATGATCAAAGAAGCGGACTTTCTAAGAAATGGCAGCACAAAGAAAGTAATGAACTTGTCAAAGAATGATCAAGTACAGCTTTGGGATGGATTGTGGTCCAGTATCCTATTTATTACAGACGATTTCACGTCGTTTGCATGTCCCCATGCCATTTTATAGTGTAGCTATTTTTACTGCATTTTATTAAAGATAGCCTTCTCTCTTGTAAGGTCTTACAATACCTTAACCAGGCCATTCTTACGTATCAATGTGCAGGAGATTACGATCGTTTCTGGAGTATAAATTATCGCCTTGTTATGAATGATGGACAGGTACCTAGGCACATTCCTCTGCGAATATATTTGCCTGATAATTGCCCTGTCATACAGGAACCTATTTCGCCATTGAACGAAGACGGTGAGTTTCATATTACATTCTTGTGGCATTTTATATTGCGTTATAATTGAATCCTGTATCCTAATTCTTTTGACTTGAAGGGAAAGTATTATCGTTGGGTGCTGTGCTTCATCGGGTACTCCCAGAATTGTTTCCATCGCCCACAACAAATGACAGTAGCACCGATGCTGCGCCAGTAATTCATGGAGTCATTACGTCCCTGGCAGTGCCTATCGTCGAGGCCTCTCAGAATTTATGTTATCCGGATAATTTCTTACATATTGTAGTTCTTCTCGGAAAGTAATAATATTGAATAACTTACCGCGTCTTATGGCATTTCTTTTTTCTGAATTGAATACTTGTGACGCGATCAGGTAACATTGTCATAAAATATATAGATGATAGATGATTTCTATTGCTACGCGTTTCACTTATTGAGCGCTGTATCATGTCATGTAGGAATGTGTAGTTTATGGAAAAGTAGATTTAATTATTCCTATTTTCCGTCCTTTCTTTTTTTTTTTCCTTTCCTCTTGTAATTTCTATTGCGTTATCATTTGCAAGATATTTTTGTAAATTACTGAAGAAAATTCGGTCTTTAATCTGCCAACCCGTCTGCTTACCTATATTTAATGATAGCACCTGCTGGGAGAATTACATTCCATTACTTTTGAACGCACGATTGACCGGGACAATAATTCCGGCCCATCAGCAAGTTGTCTTACTATTGATTCTGGTTTGTTGCTTACGATTATCACTAGAGATACTAACGATTGTCCATCAAAACAGACTGTCTCTTCCTAATGTTTATTGAAGCAGAATACGCTTATATAATACATGCGTCTGATGGACCATCTTTTAGAACTGTCATATTACCGGTTCTTTCATCAACGATTCATTAATACAACCATTAATCTATTAATAAAGTGCTCTTCCTACCCTCGGAAATACACCATTGACACCGTTTCGTCTCGAAGTAGTATAATGGTCATCATAGCCAGTCCTTTGACCGTTAGATGCATTACTCCCACCAGTGAGTGGAGACAATTCTCCTTGAGACGTTACAGCGCGCGACAACATAGCGTTACTTTTGTTTGCTTGATGAACGAAATACAAAAATACCATGCTCACTATACCACTAACTAGGAAGATAACATCGAACCAATGATGGTAAAAATTGAATTCTATTGATCCTAAAACATCAGATATTATGGTTCTGGTCGAGCATCCAGAATAAAAGTCATTGGCATCAAAAAGTTAAAATAAATTGTATACGAGCCAAATCATCGACGTTTTCTAATTGTCTTACCTGTATTCATCGGGAAGGTTCAAACGCATCATAAGCACTGAACTTAAAAAATACATTCCCATTATCTGAGCAAGAAACAACACAATGTTGCTTCTGGATACGGAGTTGGACACGGCCCTGAAAAACTAAAGAAAAAAAAAGATGTGAATCTGTCCTCACTACAAATTCACAATTTGCAAATACACAGGGAAGTCTGGTTTTGGCCAGGTGCTCCATTCAATCGTTCGACTTTGTTATAACGCGAACTATCCCAAAAAAAGCCATCTTTGTTCAACCGGACTTTACTGTGCATATGATGTTTGTGGGTTCAATTACCTTCAATAATTGAATTAATAATCCCCGAATACTGAAAATGATCAATAAACCTACAAAGAAGAAACTCAATTGCTGAGACCAGAAACTAACGTCTAATTCAATGTTGATGTAATTGATCGCCAGTGCTAAACCGTTGCTTATAGGGTCTTTTCCGACTTTGCGACTAAAGATTATGTTTATCGTGGCCTTTTCCGGTTCATAGCGGGTGGAAACGCAATAAGAAACGAATATGAAAATATGTTGAGAAGAAATATGCGCTGTTAAATAAGAAGACATACCATAACAATTTTGTAGATACAATAAATGGAAAATATATATCCGAGAAAATTAAAATATTTTCCCTTCCATGTTTTAGAGTACTCGAGGCGATCCTAAAATGATTAGGACGTAATAAGTAAACTTTTGACCAAACATTGTCAACTGAGTCATAAGAAGCGACAGAACACCTTTTCTTGATACAAATCATCAATATCGAGAAACAGCTGCCGACTCAGATTCTCCAACCCGACTATTTCTTGTCTTAGCATGCTGATGCCTACGAAAGGAAAATTTCAATATCAATTGACAAGTATCTAAAAGCAGAAGAAATCTTGGAGCATCCGATTATTAAACTAATTATACTTTCTCCTCCGATTCCTATTCCGCTAACTACGGTATGTAACATTTTTCGCATAAATCCTCCAACCCGTGAACCGTTCTGCTAGTTTAATAAATGAGAATATTATCATTCCATTCTCGTTGAGATTGTGATGTTAAATTGAGCAAGATGAATTCATAATACCTCATTTCCAGCCTTTTGTCTCAATTGTGAAACCAATATTCTTTTCTTCTTGCTCATTATCTGTTCCATTGTTTGGAGATATTTTTTCTCAGCCGCCCATATATCTGCGTATGTGACTTGTCTAAATCATATTTTAATCAAAAAAAAAAATAATTACTTGCACCCAATCCGCATCAAGTTATTTGCTCACTATGTGATCATTTACCTCAAGAAGAACGTCATAGTAGCATAAGGACTGTTTACAGCACCAAAACCCGATAAAATAGCCATAATTGTAACTCCAATAACTCCCACTCGACTCATACCAAACTGGATCAATATATCATCTAATAGATAAAAGTGCTATTTCGTTTGATTAATCCATATCACAATGAGTCCTTCATTTTTGCAGATTATACTGTACTTCACCACTAGAGAAAATACTCACTCTTGTCAGAAGCAGAATTTTTCTCAATCGGAAATAGACCACCGACTTGCCAAAAAGAGTAAAAGTAAATTGACCAGCAAATCGCCGTTAACGTTAACGAATAACGAAGTGATAGACCTGGATCAGATAGATGTAGACAATTTTGTAAGCAAATAACAAAACGATTGCTATAGCTGAACGCGCTGTGCACGATACTAACTCTTTTGTGCGTTAGTTATCAGTAAATACAATTGATAGAATGGAATAAGCATGATAACCAACACCAGTAGAATATACAATGTCATTTTCCAATGAAACCACCGCGAGCTAGAACACATAATTAGTATTAATCACACATTGATTTCTTAAAAACCCATGATAAACATTACAACTTACTCCCTCTCCATTACATCTGTTATTTCGAATATTATTAATTCAAACAAGGCACAACTGTTGCTGAAAGTCAAAGAAAAAACGGCTTGCACTAGCGTTTCCGACCGCGAGTCCGTCGAGGATTCGTAGTCTTTAAACAACTTCTTAACAAGAAATATCCAACCAAAGGCAAAAAATAATATTTGAGAGCCAAACAGGATGAGCCCGTCTGATAAAAATTTCAAGGTAGTTGACGAGAGCATTTGGAGTTCAGGGAATCTTGCGAAAGCATGGGCAATGTAGCTTAAAATACAAGTCTTAACGCGATAGGAATATACAATTCAACTTTGACGTTTTAAAGCATAGAACGTCATCTACTACTACTACAATAATAATAAAAAGTACGTGCGTTGATTTGGATGTTCCCACGTGGAGAAATTGTGTCACAAAGAGATGAGCGGTTGTTAACCACCACATAAATAAAATATTGACATATAATGTCTTTTGGACGACCTCCAAACACCACCACCTTCGTCCCTACGCCGCCTGAACGGGGAAGCTTTCCGTTAGATCATGAAGGTCAGCCTCGTTGAAAACAATAAAATTCATTATGGTACTTTATTATATGTGATCCACAACATGTGCTATTAGGTGAATGCCAGCAAATAGTCAAAGAATATCTTCAGTGTCTCAAACAAAAGAACGCCAATAATGGTGTCTGTAGACACTTGTCGAAGGCTTATCTAAAATGTCGCATGCAGAGGTATACGATTTACTTTGTGCTCCGTTCTCCCTTATTTCCATTTTATTTATGAATAAAGCTCGATATCCATTGTAGAGGGTTAATGGCGAAAGATGAATGGAAGAATTTAGGGTTTCATGAAAAAGACGAAATTTTAGATACCGAAAAGTAGCAATTATTGGCCGATTGAAAGAAGTGTGCTTGCAGTATGTAATCCGAGTGCGTAGGCATACAGTCTACTATCGATTGAAAGAGTTGAGGGATTCCGAGCTTTCAACTCTATGTAAAGTAAATTGAACAGAGGATCAGTCAAATAATCAAGTATATGTACTATCTATCCCAATTCATGTTATCACCTGTTAGCGTGGAAAATAAATTATTCAGTGGAACTTTAATAACGTGTAAACTCCATTCGTCGTCGTCCAATTCTTGCACTTCATCCTTCCCTGGCGGTGACGACTCGATTATCTGAGGAAGAGTGAGTGCTCATGAGAATTCATACTTATGTAGCGTATAAAAGGAATTAAGAGCCCACGCACTTCTACAGTCACAACTTTGGTTTTGGAATCCGTTATGCCCGGTTCATAGCAGACGGCGTCTGAAATACTTTTGACTATTCCAGTGTATCCTGTCTCTTCTCGAAGTTCTCTGAGTGCTGCTTGTTCCACCGTCTCGTCAGGATCGATCAAGCCTTAGTGCAACTAATCAGCGAAAGCATTTCGGCCGAATTACATGTTAGACATGAGAAGCGACGTGTTCTTGTACCTGATGGAAACTCAACACAATAGCAGTTTATGGGAGGTCGATATTGAACAACTAGCACTAATGTAGGAGGAGACGCCGCAGAACGAATAATCGCATGTAGGTCTACCGCTATATCAAATAATATTATAGTGTCAATGATAATTTGCATTGATTAATCCTTTCGAGTACGAGATGATACGCTAATTACCATCAACAGCATCAGAAGTAGGTTTCGAACGTTTCTTGCGTCTACATACTTCCCAACCTTTTTTCTCGTTTGTATGAGGAACAATATATTCGATTTCATCTAATTCCAGCCATTGACCATGACCTAGATGTTTACTGCTTTCTTCAGACTGTTTTACGGGAATGAGCTTTAACGATGGAAGATTAATGGATGGTACATTAAGTTGAGAACGCGAGGGTTCCGCTTGAGAAGACATTGGGCTTTACACATTACTGCATTAGAATAAGATTTCATGATATACTAGTCACGACATGGTTACATGCAAGCCACATTTTGTATAAATATTTGGATCTGCACGCTGGGTCCTGCAAGACATACGTGACAATGACTCGGGGAATAGAGTACTTAGTATGTCATTGTCGACAATATACAAACCAACTACACACACTTTCATACGGAGAAATGACATTGTCCTGACTCCCAGTCCAATTACGCGTGGCTTTAGCTCCGTAATGCATCTGGGAGACCACACTTTACTATCAGGATCCTCTAGGCACCATAGAACATCATGATCAACAACGTTTGTTCAACTTATTTGTTTCTCACTAATGCTCCAAGTCGAAATTCTGGAGGATGCGTCAGCGATAACGACGTTTGACTGTAGATACAGTCAACTCTCTTTATAACGACCTCCCGTTTTCAAAAACGTCATAATATATTATATGTACTACGCAGCATATAACGACCGATTTTGCCCAGCCCAAGGCGGTTGTTATAAAGAGAGTTGACTGTAACAATACGCAACAGTAGTTCCTGCTATAGTGACCAGTAAAATTTGCAGGACGAGACGCATACGAAATTCATTAATGAGAGAATAAGGCTCGGTTGTAACATTACCGGCTAAAGATAGCGATAGTAATGATGATGGAGTCGCTCGGACGGTTTGAAAAGAAATGAATACATGCCGGAATAAACCAAGTCTAAAAACTTGTCGAATGTAAGTAGACATTATTAAACTGGTGATGGTGTAATTTTTTAAGGTAGTAAAGAGTAATTAGTGTTTGGTATAAGAACGTCTCTTCGACTGAAAACATTTACATATACTTCAAATCAGTTTGTACTATAAAACATCTGAACATGTATTGAACTTTGTTCTTACATTCTTGCAACAAAACTCCATATAGATTGTAGAAGAAAAACCATGTTTATTGCACTGATAGATAAAAGATCAAGCTTATTTATCTTTCGACTTTCGATATTTCATTTGGATGACTACTTCTTTTGATAGTTCTTCAAACGATGTATATCTCATTTTACTCGCCGAAATAATGATATCAAAATTAGGCGGATGGTAATGTAAGAATGCGTGAGCGCGTAAAAGATTTTCTGTAAAGAAAGAATGCCAGATTAAGGGTAAACACAATGTATGGTGATAAGCAGACGCGTTGATATCATGCATGATAATTATGCGACAAAGAATGTTGAATTATCATTATTACATCATTGTCAATAATTCAATATTTTTGTAAAGTATAAATAAGTATGCAGAAAGTTTTTTAAGAAAAGCAAGGGCTTTGCATTCATAATTGTTCGCAATATATGACGTAAGAGAATCTACAAAAACTAAACTGTCAACAAGAATGAACTGTACTTCGATGTATGACATTCACGTGTGAAGCAATCTCCGCTTACACTTATAAGAGTAACTTTCAGTAATGTTTAATTATATTTACTGTTCAAACGCATTGTTTAAAATACGTTACATAATTTTCAACTGATTATGATGCATTCCTTGTATGTCTAGCCTTGCCTGATATGACTCTAGCCATGCCTGATATGACTAGCCTTGAGATATTGTGTACATACCAATGCACGTCAAATATGTAGGGTACTACTGTAGTCAGCTAGTCGTACAAATATACGAAGACCCTTACATTTCATAATTTTTATAAAATGTCATCCTCATTTACATTTTATTTCCGGGATGCATTTAAGAGGCGTCCACTATTCCTCTATTTCAGAGGCTCAGTGTTTCCTAGAGTGCTTGTCCCCGTCGTAATTTTTGCAGTATATTCAGCAGTGTTCGTATTCTTTGCAAGCCTGGGGCTAGCACCACTGTTGCATGTATCACTAGTGCCAATATTAACTATTGTAACTGGATTGTTGGTGAGTCTTAGGGCTAACAGTAGCTATGACAGATGGTGGGAAGGTTAGTAGAGAGTGAATGGTAAATTAAAGCGGATAGGTGATGTTTAGAAAACTATCAATAGATTATTTATAAGTGTGGCTTCATACGCAGGTCGTAAGCTATGGAGCTCGCTCACTGCCAACATCCGAAGTTTTTCCCGAGTACTTTGGTATAGTATTGAGCGTGAAGCCGATGGAGATGATGTCGACGACGTTACCGATGTAATGAATCTTCTTGTGGCTTTTGCTTTTGCCATCAAGCATCATCTTCGTGGAGAGGATGGGTATCAATATTCTGATCTCACCGACCGCTTACCGCGGGGGTATCTTGCGGTGATTGAGAACCGACGGAATAAAAGAGTTGACAAGGAAAGGAGAGGAAGACGCGACACGAATAGATTTGATAATTTGCCATTGGAAATTCTCACTCTCTTGTTCAATTACTCTAGCATGTTTAAACAACACGGCAAACTGGATCCTGGCATATTTAATCATTTGAGCGCATTAACTCATTCTATGACTGAACAATTATCATCGTTCGAGAGAATTCTGACCGCTCCAATCCCATTCGCGTTTATGATACATTTGAGGGTAATACACGATATTATTGAACTGACTATGATATAATGCCGTGAATAGATGTCGCTCCACCACTGATTTCGAGTTTTTTCATCTAATAAGCAAAACTCAAAATCTAGTGGGGAAGGCTTACTTAAGACATCCCACAGTTTATTAGTAGAACGGGGGAGGATTTATATATGCATAAACGCCAACTCACACAGACAAAACTTCTCAAATTTTACAGCAAATGATCGTATTGTACTGTGTCTCTTTACCGCCTCAATTGTATACCCAGACCGGTTGGTATTGCATTCCTATAACCGCAATCGCTGCATTTACGTTCTTTGGTGTTGATGCAATTGGGAAAGAGATTGAGAATCCGTTTGGATACGATGCAAATGTAAGTACCAAGAATTGATTGGCTCTACGGAGAACATTGTCAACATTAACGAGTAATTCCTATATGCGAAGGATCTTCCCGTTGATAAATTTTGTAACGATTTATTGAGCGAACTTGGTGTCTTTGAATCAAAGGAATTGAACCCGCAAGAATGGAAGAAAAAGAATTCATGAATAAATCATAGACCTGTTGCGTTAAAATAAACACGAGTCAACATCTGATATTGCGTTGGTGTGAGAAGTCATTATAATTGATGTTTCTGAATTGCAGAACTTTTTTCATCCTTATATGTAATCATGTTATCATTTGCGGATAGCTCGTCATTAAATAATGAGATCCTTCAACCGTAAACTCAAAACACTCACCAATATAATGCGCAGCTGTACAAGTATTGAGCATATTCCCAGCCGTTAATAAGGATTGGAAACAATGCTGACACATTCGGATATTCTGATATCCACCGCTTCAGTATTTGCAAACACTAATCACAAAGATTGATGGCTTTTTTTTTCCCTTGATCAGCAAATCGGAGTGTGGCACCATAGAGACATTTACATTTATGGAGCACAAAAAATTAAAGGAATCAACGTCATTAATTATAATAAGGCTTGCTACAGTCAACTCTCTTTATAGCGACCTTCTTTATAACGATCGCGTGCTCTGCCCATTTTCAAAAACGTATCATATATACTACGCTGCATATAAACGACCATTGCATATAACGACCGATTTTGCCCAGCCCGATAAAGAGAGTTGACTGTAGTTTTAATATTATCGATAGCTAGCACACCAGGTAGTGTTTGACATTATATATGACAGTAAAAAGAAGACTGACCAAGAAATGCCTATTTTACACCTGATTACGAGCATAATATGTTTTTCTGATAAAAGCAAAAGTGACATTTAATAATGAATTAGGCTAGCATTGCTCGACACGTCTTTTCAGTACTTAAGTTACATAAGTAGAGCCAGTAGTATTAACAACCAACATTCTGAAACAAGCTCAACAGCCTCCCCTAACGTCTTTACCAGAGATAGTCGTCATCTTTACACAATACGATGATTAAGACAAAGCACACAGTTAACGTTCATACACGAGCATCTCGAATATCATTGCTAAACGAGAATTTTGCGTAAGTTTTGCTTGTTTATTATTTTCGGATTAAGTATTATGTCTATGGCGTCATGGTTTCGACCTGATTTACAAGATATTAAAGGTATAGATTGCTTCTTCGCCTCCTGCGTCTAAAATACAATGCGATAATATGTTGTGGCTTATTATTATGTGGACTTCAGATCACGAGCCCGCCAATTTTGGTTACTATTATTATTATTATATGTTACGCGACTACAAAAAATCAGACACATTCATAATAATTTCATTCCCCATTGTTTTTGTAAAAATGTCGGAACTTTTCGAAAGTGCAAAGACGTTTACTGCGGGCGAACACTTGGAAATAATTAAAAGCGCCATTGATGATGTTCAGCAAACTGAAGAAATACGGAAGAAACAATCTGATGAATTTCGGGCCATTTTGAGAGGTTGTCTATGATTTATTGCTGGTTGTCCCGACCTACTGCGTTTTTACTCTTAATCTTTGTTAACACACGTTCTTCGTTCGTGATGACGTCATTTTCTCCAGATTTATCTCGTAAACTCGCAGCTGCTAAAAAGCAAGCTACGCGGTCAGACGACCAGCTTAGTGCCGAAGAACATCAACAGCAGATGACCGATTTGGACAACAAAAATCGAGTTTTGAAAAAATCTATTAATAAATTGGATAATGATATCACTGCGCATCAAGAGAGATTACAATTGTTACAGGACGAATTAGAGAGATTGAAGAATGCTAATGTGGAAGACACAATTCAACCGAGAGACAGTAACATTGCGTATGTTAACACATCTAGAATTTATGAGAACTACGCGGAACTATGTGTAATCTCCTCGATTCTCTTATTTAGTCTTCAGTTGCTGCTTTATCGACAGCTGGGTCTTACGTTCTTGGAAGATTCAAATGGCAATTACATGCGAGCAATTGTCTGTAAGTGAATGCGCTAAAGCTGAATCTAACGCGTCTTGGTATTAACAATTACTCTGTTTTATTCATATTAGTTAGCCAATCGACTAAAGATGTACGAACTGTTATGCTCGATCCTGGCCACTCTCAACATTTTCTAGCAAATTATCTTTGGGAATTAATGGATTAAATCAAGCACTAAACGACATTATTTTGACAAAAACCCCTGTAGTTCCTGTCGGTAAACATTATCCACTAAAGACAAAACTTCGTCTAAATTCAATGTAACAGTTGTATGCACAAACCCAGGTACTTTCGCTCTCTGCAATCCAGCCCATTCTAACGGAGGAGTAGCATCGCCCATTATTCTCAACTGTGGTTCCAGTTTAACTTGCTCAACGGGTTCATATTGGATAGTTTTCTTTTCCTTCTTGGTTTTCTCAGGTTCGGCTGTACTCGATTTCGATGCTTTACTACTAGACTCAGCATTTGTAGCATCTCCAGTTTCTACTTGCAACTTCGACTTGGTGTCAGCAAACGTGGGTGACCTCAGCTGGTCGCTAGTTCCTAGCGCAAGTCTTCGGAGTTGTTCCTTATAAAGTACGCCAAGTTCTTGGAGATAAAGAATAAGTCCGAAATTTAACGCGATATCTACTTTACCGCCGAAGTCTGTTACAAATTTATGGTTCACAATATTATTATCCGACGCCATTGGTGTCCACGTCTCCATCATTAAATGAGTGCGGGGGAGTGAGAATATGTTCTTTGCCGATTGGATAGCCGCATGATCAAACCATTCTTGTATCGTTCGAGTCGACCCGCCTTTATGAACAAATTTCTTGCATATGCCTTTCGTTAGTGATAAATTATTCAATTGCATATCTAGGTCTCGATGCAGCGTAGTAGAGTTTCCGGCATTTCTCTTTAAATTCAATACTAATCCATCCGATTTAGCCTGAACACAATCAACATCAGTGAAGTGGTTGGGGAAGACTGTGATATGTATCAGTCCGATGTTAAGTGTTATCTTTCCAATCAAAGTAATTGGTATTTCATCAATAATTAAATCTTTCAATACTTGTTGCAACGCACTTGCCGAGTCATTTGTATAAGAACCTGCTTCAACGTGTTCAGTAGTCCCTGATGATGATGGTGAAACTAGCTTATTTGTCATGTTAGCTACTGATAATCGTTTCCCTTCAATCAATGCTATTAATTTATCGCCCATATTGATAAACACTGGAATTGTCCTGATTGACGCCAATGCCTGCACTTTGGTAGTAACGACTTGAGTATGGACTAACGTCGATATTCGGTTTTCATTCACGCCACCCCATTGGTCCTTAACCGTTAATTCCATAGGATCAATCTCAGCAACAAGAATCTTTTGATATTCGTATTCTAATGACGACTGTATCTGCTCGGTTTTAAACAGAAACTTACTAACTGAAGTTCTAACATCAATTTGTGAAGTAGGAGGCCGTTGCAGCAGAGTGAATAGATTAAGTCCAGTCATGCGGGCAAATCCTTTGAGGCGACCATCGGCTACAATATCAAGTAGGTTTGTTGAGACCATTGCACTTTTTATAGCATTAGGGACATGCTTTGTTTTCACTCTGATATTTTTGGTATTGAACCGAACTTGTCCGATTGCTTGTCCTAAATCGCTTGATAAATCAAGTTCTTGCAAACGAAGCATAACATAGACGGAATATGGCTTTGCTTTTGCTTCAGTATTCACAGAACTAGCCGCCCGAGAGTAATTTCTGGGGACGTCCCTTGACACATCACCCTGCATACTTTCTTCATATAGTTTGGTAGCTTGATCCAACCAGATGGCTTTCAGTATTAATAACTCCTGCAACAGCCTGATATTAAGCCCGGCAGTTATGTGAGGCATGTCAGCAATGATAGATATCGAATCATCACTAATAGTATCAGTTCGCCGACTCATCAATGTCGCGTTGAAAGAAATATCTTTCGTTTCAGCGCTCGCGCTGTTATCATCGTCTGGAGATAATACATGTCGAACTTTGCCAGACGCTCCTCTTATCTTCCCTATGAGAGTAAGACTTTGTCCACTGTTACTACTATTGGAAGAAACAAGGAAATTACCTTCTTCCCAAATAACGATACAGGAAACACTTGTCGGCCTGCAACTTAGCTCAAATCTCGTACGAGAGAGCTTAAAATAAAAAGTAAAGTCTATTCCATATATTGGAGATTCACTCTTTTCCACTGCTGTCGCTTTCTTGTCACTCGATCGTTGAACACCTATTTTTAATCCATTGATTATATCTTTAATAAACGGTACCAAAGAAGGGAGGAAAATGTTCTCGCTTGGGTGAACAATAAGTTCGATATGTGCACGCTTAGCTACCCGTTGGGCCGAAGAAGAAACCATTTCACCCAGCACAGTCCTATACGTCGTATTCAAGCTTAGTCCAGGTATTGTAATAGAATCTATTCCGCTTTCTTCCAGTTTGGAAGTGTCATCTAATGAATAGATATCGTAATTGGAAACACTGTGCTGAAGATGCATTACGCTATTAGTTCTTGCTGAGCGTACAGAATGCCTTTTACTAGAACCCTTGCTCGATCTTTTCGCCTGCTGATGCTCAAGGAAATTCTTTGGGTAAAGTTTCATAACCCCACTTTTGGCTGCAAATGCTACCTGTACTTCAAAATTGATGGCAATAGACGATTCTTCAACAACATTTGTTAAGGTCGATTTAGATTTCGACTGTAAGTGAAGTTGTGACCCAATATTCGCTTCAGCTGCAAATGTCTCAAATCGTTCTCGGCTGGTCGCATAAATTTCATTAAGTGAATTAATATAATTGACAATATCTCCACTAATATGTATGTTAAAACCTTCAACACGGGAGTCCACACTAATCAACTTGTTGTTTTTCGTGCCCGTCGCATGAACTTTACAGTATATCTCTGGATAGTTAACCCTATTCATTTTCTCATTACTTGCAGATGAGAATGGATCTTCGACACTTGAATTAAACTGATTGACAAACTGAAGAGACAAGTTCTTAATCGAAGCACAAGCAGATTTCCATTGTCTAGTGATGAAATTCATTGAGGAAGCAGAAAATAATAACGCAGGTGTTTTTGGTAAGGATATTTCCCCATTATTTTGACCAGTTAAAATCATTTCTTCGCGTAAATCTAATGGTAACGCGACTGCAAATTGAGTAATCTCAAGAGACAGAATCTTCTCATCTAATAATGATTTACTCGTTTTCTTGTATTTAGGTAGGTCAACATTGAATGAGTTGATAATCTTACGCGTATTGTTGGCCAAATCGTTAATATCAGATGCCTTCAATTCTTTTCGTCTATCCAATTGGCTGCTATAGTAAACATATAAATCCATGAGTCTTCCAAGTGCTAGTGGCTGCATCACAGCATGCACTTTTGATAATTTTAAAAAATAAGACTCGAGTACATCGATTTCCTCAGGCATCACGCTTTTAGACACGTCTGTTGTTCTCTTATCTCTAAAATTCTGCAGTGCTAGGTCAATTAATATATAGGCGATTGAATATTTGCGAATATCCTCATCAGCGGACGCTTGATCCATAAAACCGGTATTTGGATTGAGAGACAACGTAAATTCTCGTGCAGAAAACTTCCATCCGGGTTGATCTGTCTTTTTCGCTCCGGATATCATAGAATCATTGGTAATTAGACCATTGAGAACATTGGTTTCAAAAAACATGACAGCCGTCGGACTCGCCGCTGCTATTCTTAGTCCGCGGAGTGCAATCCTGACTGTATATATCAATTTGTTCTCACAATCTCCTGTTGTTGGTTCCGGCACGGAACTCGAACTCGAACTTCTATGAGAGGCACTTCTTTCTTTGTATTTGTTCGATGAAAAAATAAATAAATCTAAAGCATCGTTCAGCTCACTACTAAGCAAAGACTGAGTAGTGAGAAGATGATCGATTATGTTGACATTGAGGCCCAGCTTAACGGAATCCAACGTTAATGAAGATTCTAGCTGCGAATATTTCTGCTGGACCAGCGCGTTGCCTTTTCTCAAGGAAGTAACTTTCTTATTCGCACGCGGTCTCATGCTTCCAGTTGCTCTGATAGCCGGGATTGAAAATGCAGCTTCTTGCTTATATTCATCTCTACTATTGTTTGCGGTCTCTATTATTGGTTTCTTGCCCTTTTGCGACTGCCTAGTGACGAAATGAATCTCTTGTTTTTTTAGTTGTCCGAGACAGCGTGCAATTATACTTCCTTTAGTAGTGCTTCCTTTCTGTGACATGGCCATGAAATTATAAGCATAGTACTTCAACTGGAGCGAAGGAAGCAAATTAGAAACAAACGAAAGCCCTTCAAGCAAAAATTGAAACTTGATTTCAAGCGGGTATTTCTCTTTGGCTGAGGCCTTTTCAAGCAAATCAATAGACATGACATCCCTAGATGACTTCTTGCGTTGCACTTCCCACTCATCCATCAATCTCTTGAACAAAAAGTCATACTGGGGAAGATTTTCCTCCTGCCATTGTTCAACAAATTTAAACAATTTCAACAAAGACTCTGGCAGTTCTACAGAAACTTTCTTTACACCAACAAATGTGTTCAAGAGTTTCCTTTCGATGTCGCCTTTAGTACGATTTCGTGGGGAAGTCAGCTTACTGAGTGTGACATTGGCACACACTTTCGATACCTTCACTGACAATAATGTCACTTGTTTTTGTGATGAAGAGTTTAGTTCTTTAATTGTCATTATTGCTTTCCTTATACCGGCAGCCGCTGAAAATTTCAGTTTATGTGATGATCGACCACTCCCACGAGACCCAGCTTTTACTGAACTATGACCAACTGAGGAATTTTCAATTTCAAGCTTCTCTATTAGTTGCATAGCTTGGGGACTATGCAACAGTGCTGAAATATTGATGCTAGAGAATTGTGCTCTGCCAAGTAATTGTTGTGCTGATGCAGATAGTACAACTGTTTCAATAAATACCAATGCGTGAGCAACAACCTCAAGACGTGCCCATAAATTAAATTTAGTTGCTTTTTTTTTATCAGTATTCGATATTTTTTCTTTATATTTTACAGTTTTAATCTCTTGCAGACTGGTAATCGTTGAAGTTGACTTATGACCCACATTTTTGGAACTTCCAGCAGCCACATCAGTTCTGCTAAATTGGATTTCAGCAGACATCGTATCCCGTCTTGTTGCAAACACGCGCTGTACTCTGAGCCAATGTTTGGCAAATGCCAACATATCCGGATTGACATCTACAGCAACTTGGTTCAAATGGACTCTCAGCACAACATCTACATAACCTTCTAAGGCTGTCATTATGTTTTTACCAGAATCAACGTTGCCAAACCTGAAAGGAGAAAGAGGCGGCTCCTGCATAGCTTCAACTATCGGAAGACCAGAACGATAACTGCTTTCGGCATCGATCCCAAGCGGTCCAACTTTCACCGAATTCTCACGGTTTTCTTCCAAAACAGAGAAAGATATCAAGCCAATGTAAAGCTTTCCAATATTAGTTGAGGAGGCAATCAAATGCGGAATGTTAACTGTGCGTGCAGGTAAATCAGTGGAGTGTGGTCGATCAAACACTTTGGTAAAAAATTGACTCTTTGAAAGATCCCCTATTTCCCAATGTCGCCATGTAGAAAAGGCATTTACTGCCGTAACATACATTGCATTCGAGTCATTCATGTGCAGTTCCTTGCAAGTAAGCAGGTCTTTGACTTTGTTCATTGTTTCGGTTGACTTTTCCATTTCCCTTTTGCAATGACGTAACCGCCCTAATATTTTCCAACCATCATCGTTTTTAAAAGTCTTTACCTTCAGCCGCAATAAATGAGATGGTCGCGTCAAGTGCGATGGATCACTCTCGATTCTAGCCTTATTAGAAAAAGATGCTATCTGCGACACTAGTACTTGCAATTGCCTTTTTCTTCGTTTCAAAAAATCACTCGATATTTTTGCAATATCATCTATAAAAACTAACCAAGAATAAACTGCTCCCGTAAATATTTCTGCTGATTGAGCCACAGAAATCGCTATAAGATTTTCCATGTTAAAAACGAATTCGTTTGGTTGTATCAAACCGGACAAATTTATCTTCAGTCGTCTTAAAGAAACATGCAATACTACCGGATCGTCATCCAACACATCAACATCAAAAGCTACATCGCTAAATCCATGCATGTCTTCCGGTATCCCAAAGACTCCGACGGACTTGGTGGCGGTCACAAATCTGACGTTAACTTTTAATGCATCCAACTCCAGATTCGTTCTTAGTTCATTCAAATGCCAATCAGGCTCCGCATTCTTGGCTGCATTTTTGTCAAACTTTGCATCTTTGAATTTTACAAGTCCAGTAAACAGCGTCCGTTCTAATACTAAATCAGCCGTGCAGAGTATAGTGTCTGTAAGATCATATCTTGTTCTTATACTTGAATTTTCGTCGATAACTTTTGTTAAATCGTCGGGAAGAAGGACGTCTTGTATAAAATGCAAGTGGATTTTGGGAATACTGGCGACCAATCTAGCTGTGTCATATTCGAACAAAGTAACATTATTCAACTTGCTAATATAATCTGTTTGCATAGCATCGAGCATGGCTTCCATGTTCCAGTTTTCGTTGCTGATAGCCTCTAACATCTCCTGAATGATTCTGAGGAAAATTGGTGTCAATAATACGTTAATCGACTTAGTGGCTTCGAAAATTATAGTCACTAAAGTTTCGCTATCGTTCTCGATAGATGGTTCGATGGCTTCTTCATTCTTCATTTTAAAAAATGTCGATGACGTATAGCTTGGACTGTCCGTCTCTCCAATAGAGGAGTTTTCCCTTTTCTAAATGTAATTAATGATTAGCAAATATGAATTGACACCCTCACAATATTCAGCTTAAAAGTAAGGTTTACCCGAGCAGGCTGAAAACATGACCGAGAAGGTCGTAAGAAGGAGCTCGTAAACTGCGGCGCGTTGGATTTGTGCTTGTAGCGTCTCAGGTAACGCCCATATGGAATGGATATTGGTTCTGACTGAGATACTACTTTTTCAATTTGATGACCAAAGCGTGCACGACGAGGAAAATTGCTTTCATAATTCATTGCTACACAAAACGCAGATGGTCAATGATTGTAAGTAGACAACAAAATATGTAGAATACGACTTACTGTCAACGTAGAATTCTGTTTCATGTCTTCCCGCAGTAAACGTGTCGTCGCTGGATTCACTATTACTTGAGTCAAATTCTTCATCCGTTGTATCACCATCAGAAGCGGTTACAAAAGACGTGTTTGAAATACTGACGGCAGATCCGGTCACGCTGAGAAAGATAAATAAATCATAAGCTGTCGGCACACAACCACTCTCGCTGACTGTCACATACCAACCTATCATTATCAGTTTTAAAACCTTCGTTATCGGTATTCTCGACCAAGTCATCCGTTTCATCGAAAAGGCCATATCTTGTACCAAACCCAACATTTTTACGGTTTTCTGCGGCCGGTATGTCAGAGGATAAATCATCATTTCTATAACGTGGGGGACCACTATCGTCTGATATAGGAGGTGGCATCGGAGGTGCGTAGACGATATCATTATTGATTTTTGTCGATCTTAGGTCACCTTCGTACTCATAAAGAAACGGCACGCGCAACGTCTCGTTATCTTGATCCTTTACGAAAGCTTGTTGGGAATCAAAACGCTGACGCCATCCAGATTCTGTTCGGAGTAAAGTCACGTCAAAAGCGGTCTCGAAGTTTGCAACTTCAACCCAGGGGTAATCCTCCGCATCAAACTCGGCATCGACTGGTGATCCTGGAGTTGCAACCATTGCCAAACTTTTGATGGATAGTTCTGGTATTTTTAATATTACTCTTTGCAAGTACTTCTCGCTTGCTAGGTTATCATATTGGGCGCAAATCCCTTCGCTCAACAGAATTTGCGAACAACTACAAATCATCCAAGTGAAATGTCTTTTAGGTCTAGATGTACTATGGTTTAAAAAATTCTGCGTCTTCTTAATACCTATCACGACACTGAATAGATACGTCAACAGCCTTGACTTTCACGTTCAGAAACGTGACGTCTGCATTAGCAAAATCTGCGGGTAAAGCACTTTCTTCATCGACAAGATGATAGGCAAATGCCCTCGCAAAGAAGGAAAGGCTTAACAAAAACGGTGGCCTCAACTGCCCTGAAATTGTGCCGAGATTAATATCCCAATTACAAACATAAGCAGCTGTCTTCGGCTGCGGTCCATACAAGCGATGGGCGTAAATATTAAGACCTGGATAGGAAAGTATGTATTAGGAAAAGTCTATGTTTATCGACGTATTTCGACTATAATGGATTTACCGTCTAAAAACAAATAATTATTGTGCAGCCTCGACCTCGAATGTTTTCTTGCAACATCATCCTGATCCAATGTTATTGTGAGAGGGCTAACAGTGATATCCATATCTGTTTGGAAACATACATTAGGACTAATCGCGTATTTGAATAGCAAAACAATGTTCATAAATATTACCCAAGTAGAGATCAAGATTTCTCAATTCGAGCTGCAATTCATGAAATTGAATAGTCGAACAATTCTCGGCAGTATACAAATTTTCCGGAAGCGACAAAGAACCATCTTCAATAACTAAGACCAAATAGACTTCAAAAAGATCTGCGGGAGGCTATGAAAGAGGAATCCGCATAAAAAATAGTACAAAATATAGTTGCCATTCATTTAAAGCAATTTACCTTTGATGGCATTCGTCGAGTGGCTACGGGAGATGATCTTTCTCTTGCATACTCTTCCAACGTCACAAAATTAATATAATCTCCGGCGTAATTCTCAAGGATTATCATAAAGTACCGAATCACAAAACCAAAGAGTTTGAAATTAACCTTTTTCCCCTGTAGGTCGAAAATATATTATAGTCATCATTAGTGAAATACATAATCTCAATAGCACGAGAAGTACAAGGCGTTACAGACCTTCATGTTCAAAGAAACCGATTCTACGTGACTCGGATCGACAAAAGAGTAATACTGATACGTCCCATTGATAGTGAAATTATCGACTTGACCAAAGTTCTTACCATCCTCGGATAAGAATGCGCCTAGTGAATGAGATGCCTGCGGTGACATCATAATGTTACCGTGCGTAATCTAAAGACGTTGTATTAGGTAAGTGACTGATATATCAAATCAAACCAGAAAAGCAGCTCTGGAACGATCTATACCGTGACATCAAAAAGAACTTTGGTTACTTCTGGTTTGTACTGAACGAACGGCAAGTCAATCTTTGCATATAATTCACGGCCCTTGATAACAAAAGCTATACAAATGAAGTAAAAAAGTGAGAGGCGATCACAGGTAACATACTTTTCGCAAGATAATACATAAAACATACTATTGTCATCGGCATCCATCGGATTTGTATTTTCAATTATATTATGCTCATTAACGTAGAGAAATAGTTGAAAGCCTTGTTTGAAATTCAACTGAATATCGTAATTAATTGGTATAAAATATCGCAGTTGTACAAGAGGTCCAGATGTCCAATCTTTTACTAAATCTTGGAACAGTATTATGTGGTCGCGAAGCAAGAATATGTCTGCCTTGCGGAATTCGATCCTAAAATCCCATTTACGAGACGCATTCCAAACCAACGGGTTTTGCAGCTCACAAGCTATCTATGACGGATGAACGATAATATTAGGATCATGACCGTACCAAAAAACGTCTTGCTGTCATAAAAAGACACTTACCGTACAGCGTTCTGCAATCAACAAATTCGCAAAATTAATGCTTGTTTGCAGTTCTGGTTTGTCCAAGCGGATATCCAACTGAACAGAATAACCATTATCATCTGTTACCATAGGTACAATAACGTTGACTCTTGATTCTAAGCCAACTCGTAGGTCCATCCAACCGTAAGATCTGGCAGCATGTGTTGAAGGTTCATCTGGTGCACTTTCTTCAAAATTCCAGTCCTAGAAATGTAACTGTGGGTGAGACATGATGGCCTACAGTATGAGTTTTCATTGCGCGACTTGTACCTTGGATGCTTCTCTTGTAGGAATGCGGATTACGGTTTCGGTTTTAAATATGATAAAAATCTTCAGCGCAGTGTGCAGTCTATCATCCCCAGGGAAAAGCATTTTTGTCTTTTCAGAATTACGATAAAGTGGTGGAAAGAAAAAATTTTGAAGTTGTACTCTGAATTTATATATGGTAATATTTTAAATGAGCATGTTATGTTTGCCAGATAATGCAGATCTAACGAACTAATACCAACCGCTGACGATCTGCCCAAGGTCCGTAATTGATAACACCACCTTCAACTTCAAGTTCAACTGTCCATTCGGGTGCCAAGTCACCGTTGCCAATGTCGATACCGTTCGACTCATCAGGTAGCGAAAGAGACGGAACCTTACCTAGCATTTCCTCAAACGCCTTAGTCATTCTATTTACAGACAAGAAAGTACAATAAAAATTACTCACCAGCAACATCAACATAGTAATTTAGATTTAAGGATACACATTCGAGTATTGTCGTCACTTTCGCATATTCGTCAGCTATTCCGTCTCCAGGAACACCTGGTAAGTCATCATTAAGATATCTAGGAAGACCATACCATTCTGCCGTATTCATTGAGGAAGTGTTCTGAAAGAATGGCATACACGCGCTTAATCGATTGAAGTAAGATGAAAATCTGCCAGAGCGTTCGGGCTGTCTATGATAGTACAATCGAACAAGCTGCTATTTTAGCAAGAACTTTGGAATAATAATTTACAACAAATTTATATTTACTCGTGCGCAGATTCTGTAGTTCTTCTAGAAGCTTGGGTCAAAGGAGATTCCTTATAGTCCTCATTTGGCCTAAGATGTATCCGAGGATTGCGGAATGTAATACATAAAGCTGCCTTATAATGATCGAATTGCGATCGTGTCTAAATAAAACCGTTAATTAATGCCTCATCGAAATTTGTCAAACCGCGTCGTCAGTCAAAGATCAATAATAACCTTTAATGCAGCATAAATTCCGCTAGCTTGCGCGAATTCCGTAATCAGAACTGATGGGACGTAAGGATTACCGACAATGACGGCACCTCGTTCACAATCAATTTGAATGGGCAATAATCTTCGGAAGAAGGATATTTGCGAATCATCTGGAGTGTCTTCCTCCAAGTTCACTAGAATAAACTAAGCTTATTAGAACGGGAAGAGAAATGAAAAAGATTTACACGATCGATTACCTGCAACGTCGTCTCGCTGATCTGAAACAGTGTTACTATTTTCGTCGAGAAATTTGCTCAGTACATCATAAGCAGGTTTTCTATTATATACAAACCACTCCACTCCGTTCAAATTACATATAACTCTACAAGGTAAATTTTTGTCTTTAAGAAACAAATTGGTGACGAAAAGTTAGAAATCTCAAGATTGGGAATGTACTAATTCAAACAAGTCAAACATACCGTTATCGCCACCATCATCATTTTTGGCGTTGCCTTGACTTCGATCTTCGCGCACGCTCCATAGCCAATATCTCCATGTTACAGATCCTTTTAAAACTGTAATTGATTGGTTTCTTGAAAAATACTTCAAATTTTTGAATAGAATGCGACCAGCAAGAGGGGCAAACTGTATTGATTCTTATAACAAGTGTTCATATCCAATCAGGCATACGATTTTGAAATGACTTTATTAACGTTTGAATTTATTACAAAAATGCGAGCTACAACTCTGTCAATAGCAAACAAATGTATATTCAGAGATAAAAAAGCGTACCAATTTCGATGTAGGCACGATATTTGCGCCAGGTAATTGCTCGAATCAAGCGCGATAATAAACGGCCAAGCACACGATTAGAGTAAAAGAGGAAGAATAACACCGCTAATATTACGGCTGCACATCCAGTCAGGAAAACCCTATACCCAAAGTATGAAATAAACGATGTGAGAGTTCTAATTTCTACGCCCAAGGGGAATAAAGTAAACTGAAGTTACCAGTATATGACCATTATAGTTATTATTCTTGTTATTATCGAAAGAAGGATATCCCTGTATTCGTATGTGGATATTATACAGATATACAGCCAATCATATCACAAATCTCGTAGGGAATTTACTATCACGAAATCTGCCCTCTTTCATTTCAGCCTTCGAGTTGGAATATCATGTAAGTTTGTATACGCTATTTCAGAATTGGAATATCCTCCTCCCTACAACTAAGTTATGTAATTCTCAGGGTTAAATCAAACTCGCGCGTAGAAAGTAGATCTCGTTCGCGTAGTCACGCTCGAAGCCGCTCACGTAGCCGATCCGTACGGTCAATGTCACGATCCCGTTCTAGAAGTCGTTCTTACTCTTCTTACTCTTCAAGGAGCCGCTCCTACTCTCGTAGTCCGTCTTACTCGCGAAGTCGTTCTCGTTCACGTTCGTCTTATCCCGCTCGTAGGAGGCGATCCATGTCACCACTGCCGACTAAGATATTGGTAGAAAAACTGACCAAGAATGCGACCGTAGCTCATTTGAACGAGATTTTTGGTGCTTATGGACATATTAATGGCATCGATATGCCAACAAACAAAAAGTGTTTGTATAAGCAACAATTGTTACCATGTTTTATTATATCATATCATGACTGGTAGATTGAGCCCTATTTATTCTTATAAGCAGGGTCGGTGAATAGAGGCATTGCATATATAGAATATGAAACTAGAAGTGAGGCGGAAAAGGCTATTAGTTACATGGATGGGGTAAACTTATTCTTTCAACTTAACCTTCGCGTTACAAACTGTGTGCACTCAAAAATTCTTCCAATTCTTTGAAGGGTCAATTGGATGGGGCGGTTCTTTCATGCGCATTTGTTCCACGACGACCGTCACCGCCACCACCATCAATACGCCGCAGAGGCAGAGGTAGAGTATTTTGTGTTGGCCAACACGTTAAGTGAATCCTGATAATAAGCAATTAATGCTATTATCCTAATATGGACGCAGGTGGACGTTACATATCTCCCAGGCGGTTCACTGGAAGCAGTTATAGAGCACGAGGCAGGTCGCCATTGCGACGATATTCTCGATCTCGATCTCGATCGCCTATACACAGAAGACGTTCGTATTCTTATAGTTCATACAGTTCCAGAAGTAGATCTAGAACACCATATTCTAGAAGTCGTAGTCGGAGTTATACAGCAAGCAGGTCGAGAAGCCGAAGTCAAGCTCGAAGCAGAAGTAGGAGTCGCAGCAGCCGAAGCCATAGTCGATATTAAATACTTTTCCTCTCTTCGCGCTCCAAGCAAGGACTACCACAAAAATGATTTGTTCCCGAACTTTTCTTTGCATTTTTTTTTACGTCTTAGGAAAACAAAGGATTTCTGTAACGTGGTTTTTATTAGCTCTCTCTTTCATTGTTCATGATTTGACATTAAACGATATTGTGCGCAAATTCTAAACAGCATCGCACTGTCTTGGTTAATAAATTATTGACATATATCGAATTATAAACCATAGAACTTTTAACAACTTTCCGGTAAGCCTAACATCTAATTTTTAGCAAAATTCCGTTGGCAATAACTAATGAATACTTCTCTAAACGTACCTTTCTTCACTTCATCATACCATCTAATCGATCGAAGAAATGAGAATACATGAAAGACCATTAGTCATCCTGGTTACCGTTCTTTGTCTAATCCCCATATATCTCTCCATTTATCAGTAAGGAGCATTCAATGTCCACTGGCTGAGAAGATTTCGACTCATCTAGGGACCAACCAAGTACGAATTCTCCAGAGTCTTGGGTCTCGAATTTGTAATACTGTATTTCTTCCGTATTGGGTGTGGATGTCGATACCAATACTCTGCAGAAAGAGATCGATCAATTACGAATCCGGCACAATAGATATGTACGGAAAATAGATGAAGATACAAACATATTTTCTTCCTTATTTGGATTTTCATCCAGCTTGATAAATCTAACATCAAAGTTTACACCTTTTGCACCACCAATGATTCTAAATTTGATTTCAAGCTTTCCCTGAGTATCTCCTTTGTCATCCTTCACGAATAGTACTTCACGCGTTTCTCTACAGCCACCGCGCAATCGTACGCGCACTGGGAACTCTGAGGAGGGGGCCACAGGTGTGCTAGGTCTGGATGGCGTTTGTGTGACAGAAAGAGAAGAACGTGAAATCGGCGGTATATTTTTTTTGACAACCGACGGTACGCATCCGCCTAAACAAGAATGTGGATGAAGCACAATATATGACGTATGATTGACGGGAACAAGCATATTAGGCTTACCAGGCATGTGTGAGCAAGTGCAATTTCCGCCCAAAAATGAGGGAAGGTTTTCAGCGTCTATGTGTTCGAGTAATGTTGACTTTGCAAAATATAAGTCAACTTTGATCAGACACTAATCTCTTAAGAAATCGGTCATACTTTATAAGAGAGTACGACTAAATTTATCAGTACCTGAAAGTCTTTCCCGCAGATGCTTATTTTCTTTAATAAACCAGGATCTAACCAACTTTTAGCTAGGTTCCATATCATTACAAACATCCGAGGTGTATTCACAATGAAAAGTTTGCCTAATCGCTCCGGGTAGTATTTCTGGTCCAGGTCACTAATTGCTCTGTACATTGACAGTGCTGGCATATGTATCTCTTTTCGTATGGAATGACAAATGACATGCACGTTATTGATCCGGTTAAGCAGTCGCTTGTTATAATTATTTTCAAGAATTGGTGTAAATTACTTACGATGCATTCCCATTCCTTCACAATCTAATATCACAGTCTCTTTGTCGATCACTGTTCCTGCCCGCCTGCTGAGTTCGGGCATGACAACTCGGTGAGAGAATTCTTGACAAGAAATATGCCAATCAAGAAGTTCTTCCAATTTGACGTTTTTGGCTATTTGTTTCGCATCGTGGTATCCCTTTAGAAGTAGACGTTTTAGATATCATGCTACCTGTAGAATGAGCGTTGCCGCCGAAAATGTTCCTGAATTACTCACAGCACGTTCGATATATATAGCTCTACCCTCTTTATCAGTTTTGTGTAAACAATTTCCTCCAAAATATTTGTATATTTTTGGCAAATATGCAGGAATTTCATCTACAGCTTCCACATTTGAATCCGGCAAATAAGGTGCGAAGCCGCGAATGGGATAAAGTATTGGAGTGCCTGGATTTATTACGGGCAATGGGCGCGAGTCGATCTTTTCCTTAGCACGCCAGGCTGCCGTATCGTCTAGCTGCTGCTTGGCTTTTTGCTAGCGAATATTATTATAGTAAATAACATTTGACTGATTTCTGTGAAGACTAAGAATACATTAGAATTTCGCTTACCAACTGGAAACTTCTGGCAGTGGCAAATCTTGATAATGTCTATACAAAAAAAAATGAAGTCTGTTTAATGGAAACCATCAAACAAAGCATATTCAATACTCGGCCGGACTTACAGCGTCGTCATACCGATCGTATTCTGGACCTAATAGTTTCCTGAACTCAACTATGACGTCCTTTTGGTTTTCAGGACTCTGATCCTGCTTACTGCGTCCTACCGAGGATGAACCACTTCTCTTGAACATTCTTCCAAATCAAAAGAATTCAACCTGCTCAATAAAAATATTATTTGTGGGTGCAACATGAACGAGTGACGTCACATCAGTCATACTCATTATTATTGTCATTATTATTGTCATTATTATTGTCATTATTATACGGATATTACCGGCTATACCGGTTCCTCTTATACCCCCGGCCAAAAATTCCCGTGTGGCCCGACGAAGCAATACCAACATGCCTTAAAAATAACACTTTTCATGGAATGGAAGAATCAGCGCATAAATAATTTTAATTAATGCACAGTCACAGGGTAATGGGGGTAATTATAGCAAAATTAAATTTCACAAGAAATAATTCGATGTACTCCCGTTTTTTTCCCCGAAAAACCATCTGATATCTCGTTTTCATTGGACTCGATTAAAATTACTTGTTCAGGAATTGCTCCCATCCCTCGACCAAAAGTGCTTTAATCCATCGGCATTCTTCGGTACCTTGTTCTGCAAGGCTAATTCATGACATTCTCGACAATGAAATCCTTAGCAAATCTTAAAATAGCTGCCTGTTGCAAATGCCAATTGCTTTGATACATGACTGGGCAGCAATAGTGACAGTAATATATGGACGAAGAAAGGCCTCCACGAGTCTCCATAAAGCAAACGATGGCGTTTCTCTTTCGCAAGTCGCCACCCTATTCTGGAATTGGAATCGATTTTGGGGCGGACTCTGATTCATTATTAACAAACTTGTCGTGATTTCTGGATAATTGGTAAATTTCGACTTGCGAAAACCTAAATAGATCACTTTTGCTGTCAATTGATTTGGCTAAAGTTTACCATACAAGTAAAAGTCGTTATAAGAAACCTCGATAAAAGAAATTGAGCATATGAGGAATTTTTCCCGATCTGAACCAGTTTTATACAAATTCTGTTCATTATAAGAAGTATTATCTCGATATTGTGATTTTCTATGACCAAATATAATATCGTGACTGCTCTGATATAAGAAAGTTACATTTGATAAAAAAATATATTACGCTCGATATAATAATAAGGCTGAGCCAATACGTGGTAATAACGGCTTTTAGTAACCCATTCATTTTGAAGGGAACCTGTTAAAAATAAATCCTACAAATGCAATCTGTAACGCATCGCTGAAGCAAGAAAGAAATAAAGTTCGCAAAACAACAAGAACCTTAGCAGGAAACCAGAAAACCGGACGTTGTCGAGTGAAACACTAAATATGTACTTACTCTCAATGAGTTAGTGAATAGGTTTAATATAGGCGAATCCACATTCTCGAAATTTTACCAAAGAAAACATATTTGCGCACTAATGGCCAACAATTGCTTGTCGGCATGCGAAATATCCAAATCGTGAAGAAGCACCCTGCTCTTTGATTTGCGGAAGCTGGATTACAATACCAGACTCTTGTGGGTTGGTGGGCTGGTCAACCCCAAACGCAGTTTACATATTCTCCAAAAAAGAAAAAGAAAAAGAAAAAGAAAAAAGAACGGCTGCGCGCATTGCCAGTCTTATGACTATCATAATAACGTCTGGAATTCATATACAGTCCCCGGTAAAAATAATGGCGCGTGATTTTTTGTAAATAAAAAATGCACTTTATTATAAATTTTAGGAAATATATACATTTCCTTAAAACTACGTAGTATAACTACAACTTTTGTTATAATTTTAATACTTGGTATGCGCTCCTTCAGCATTAATACATGCTTAAACTCGATTTAATACTATTACACTCAGTGGAAAAAAGTCACCGGACACTTTGTATATTAATATTTGAATATTGCTCGGGATAATGTATAATAAAATGACTGTGGATTTTTACCATAAATAGTTTAGCATCCGTAAATCATTCTATCGTGGAACAGTCGCGAATATTGATGTAAACAAAGTCAATTAATAACAAAGTTTTTCTTCGATCTCTCTTATTCATTAC